TAGAAACATTCAGAATCAGTAAAAAAAAAACTTCCTTACACATATTGTTCTCATCAGATCTGATGACAGCCACCAATTTAGATTGATTTTAAAAGGGAACTGGGAAAATCAAACAGGATTAGATGTCAGGACCTACTTGTCCTGATAGCTATATATCCACTTCCCTAAATTATAGCCAGAATGCCTTAAATATCTGCTGCTATAGAGAAAGGGGAAGGGGAGAGTGGAAAATTTATTACAACCATAGAACAAAAGGAAAAAAAACACCACAGGAAAACATGAGATAACCATTGCCAATTACAGCTGGGTTTATACTGAGTAACAAAACCAAGCAACATTTAAGGACACTGAATTGTCTTGTGGTCTAATAAGTAATGGAAGCAAAATAAGTCAGAATACCCAGGAATATAGAAAGGAAATGGGAAACTGGGAAATGGGAAATTCTGTAAAACTGGCAGAATAACAAAACATGGGCTGTAATTTCTATTATATCTGCCTCTGAGGGACATTGTTGGAATGTATAGATTTTCCTATATTTCCCCTTCAATATTGCTATATTTTTTTTCCTATATTTCCCCTTCAATATTGCTATTGGGAAATGCTAAAACCATGGCTTTTCTATTTTTCTTTTAAATTTATTTTAGTATTTTTACTAAAATCATGAAAACTAATACTAACTAAAAAAGTAAAAGAAAAAATGATAAAGAAATTATGGAGCTCCATTTCCATCTGTCCTGTTTGCCATCATTCACTCCCTAGAGACTAAAATGGAACATCTGTAACTTGAGCTGGCCACGAATGAGGAGTGTATATCGGAGGTGGTGACCCTTTGAGAGCTGTATGCAACGAAATTTCATTTTGATGTATGCCGATTGGTGTATTTTCAAAGTGACAATAAAGTTGTTGTTGTTGTTGTTGTTATTATCTTTCCTTCCTGTTTGTCATATCTTACCTATACACAAATCTTTAAAGTTTTGTTGTTCAGTCCTGATCAGCAAAAGTCCATTAAGAGTTACCAGAGATAATAATATATCTATTTTAGCCTTGATCAATAAACCAGTATTATATTCATTCCCTTTACTTTTAACAATCTTGATCCTTAATTGCCTAAAATAAAGTCCTTGAACATGATTACTTCTCATTTTTATTTGTCCCTTGTCATATAAATTGTACAAAATTTAAACAGATCTCTTTTGTAAATCCAATATAAGACTATTATTTAGTTCAATGTTTTGATTTGATAAAATGTCAACTGCTTTCATTTGCCTATCCAGTATAGCAGCTCTTTCCACACCATACCTCTCATTTTTAGATCCACTTTCAAATTAGACTCAGTCTTATCCAGTAAAATTTGCTCCATTTCTATATAAACTTCCAAGCATAATCTGTCTATAATAGCAAACATTTAAAAAACTGACTTGTTCAAATTTCTTCCAAAATATCCAGTGTTAAATTTTCCAAATCAACACTTGAATTACCTGCTAGCTGTTTATTTTTTTTAAATGGAATTTTTAAGAATAACAAGTTTTACAACATGAGATTTGTTTTCTTCAATACTTTAAAGTTTAAAAAACAGGTTTAAGGGCTTAAAAATTCTTTAGGAATAAACAGAAAATGGGTGATTAGAACTTTAATTTTGGAAAGTTACAAATGGACTAAGGATAAAGATTGATTTGGAATAAGATTTTAGAATTAATTATAAGAAATCTTGCTATGGAAAGTGCATTTGTTTTTAATACATTTAGAAAAAATATGATTGGACACTTGGAAGCTTGAAAACTAGACGGAATTAAAAATTACAATTAAAGGAGAATACCACTTAAATTTGACTTACTAATACAGAATGGAGCAAATATTTTTTTAGGGTACTATTATTTATTTTATTATTTATTAAATTTGTTTGCTACCCATTTTGCCAAGGTGATGCTAGGTGGCTTACAACATTAAAATGAAATATGCTTTTTAACAATGAACCCAGAAATTAATTTGAAGCATGTCTGCCTCTATAGATAGACTGTGTTTCAAAGAATAGGAAAAAGTTTTACTGGGCATGACTGAGACCAATCTGAAAATTGATAAGAATGATATGGAAAAAGGTGCTACATTGGGCAAAGATATACAACTGTCTGATGTGTTTATAATTTAAAAAGAAATAGAAATAACAAATCAACACATGATCTGGACAACTTTTTTATATTGGATTTACAAAAGAGTCATGTTAAAGCTTTGAAGAATTTTATGAGAAGGGACAAAGAAAAAAATGAAGAGAACTCAAGTTCTAGGATATCATTTAATTGGATTAAAGATAAATATTGTTACAAATAAAAGGAAAGAATATGAACTTGGTTTATTTGATCAAGGTCAAAATAGATACTTTTTTTAGATATGTTGTTATCTCTGGTAACCATTAATAGACTTTTGTTGATTAGATCTGAACAACAAGGCTTTAGGCTTAGTTTATAGCCTAAAGAGAAGGGATATGGAAAGAAGAGATCATTTGTTGTGTTTCAACAGAAAGTGGTAAGTTACTAAAATTGTTTATAGTTGTTGTGCAAAGGGTGAAGTTATTTCTTTATATACTTCTTTTCTTTACTACATTATTTTCTATCTTTCTATTTTTTTTCTCCACTTTCTATTTTTATTTCTTTTTGATTGTATTACATTCTTTTTAACTGTAATTTCTAATAACATTACTATAAAAAATAAAATAAAATTTGGAAACTGGTTATTAATACATAATGGGGACAAGTTACATAATCCAATTAGCCTTCTACAGATAGAACCTTTTGTTTCAAAATTAAGTTGGTCCGCTCTAACCCCAGTGGCAAGAGATCGTCTGGTTGACACCGTGAGATGCAGAATACATTGTTCAATTGGCTGATCCAGCAGGGCTTTTTTTGGGGTGTGTTACAGGTCCCACAGGAATCAGTGGAGTTTTCTTCTGAAGTAACTAAAGCTATCACTATCTTCAAATGCAGCCATTTATAACATGTTGCATCCATCTAGCTTGGATATTAGAAAATTACAAACATATTTCTGATTAATCAGATTCTATTTAAAGAAGAAGAATAGTACATCACCTCCCTTAAAAGATTTAAAACAGAACTTCTGACTATCAATATATCTTCCTGGGAGGAACCTATTCCTCTTAGCAGTAGTTAACCCAGCACTGCTTTTTTTCTTTCTTTTTCCTTCCTGCTTTCCTCCCCTTAATGTGCTTAAGCTAGTAATGTAACGTGATTATCAAACCAAAGCTAGTAGAAGGTAAGACACTGTAAGAGTTCACTGTTTCCTCACTTCTGCTCTGCATTACACATTAATTTTCTGTATCTTTCTAAGTCATCTCACACAGTTACAATATATAAACAAAATTACTATTTTCAAGAGATTTTTCTTCTTCCTATGGAAGGGAGAAATATTGTCCTTCTAATTCAGCCATATTTTAATGTTTCATACAAACACATACGGCCACAATTTATGTAAGGCTCAAGGTAAACCTAAAACAAACACAGATGTCCAAATATATATAGCTTCCCCCCTCCCCGATTAGTTCAACTGACTCCAGGGTAAGCAATTAACTTCAAAGGAACTACTGTAGAATACGTGATTTGAGGACTGCCATTCATAGATGGTTTAACAGAAACATTTTTTAAAAAATAAAAATGAACCTTTCATCAAACCTATGCTTATGATTGTTTTTTTCAAGTTAAGAGTGCTTTTTCTTTATTCATTGGAGCTTTCCATAACCAAGAGGTAGGATTTGAAGGCCTCTTCCATCATGTTCCCACAAATCAGAGACAGGCTATAGAAATCATATAACTACTTTAAATATTTTCCTTCTGATGCTTTACATAAAGCATTCTCCTCCTTCCAACTATCAAAACTGTCCATATTACCTTCAGGATAACCAAAGCATACAGAAAGCCCCCCTCTACCTGGAGTTTTTCTCACTCAGAAGCAGCCAGGCCCTGAATAGTAGAAACTATTGTCCTCTACTGTCCGCATTTCTTAATTTACATTCTTTTTAAGGTAATGTTTGAGTGAGATAAATGATAACTGACCTTAACACAATTTGATGACTATTATAAGGAAAATTTAAATGAGCCCTGATGGGTATGTACTCCTTTTGGAGATGTGCCCACCTAGGTTTCAAATGTAGCACCAACTGTCATCCCAGATGGATGGCTCCTGTCATTCAGAATATCTTTCCAACTTGCAGAGGTACTGAGATGTTATTTGTGAGATTGGGCTATAGGAAGAAGATGGGAATATTGCCTCTGCACCAGAATGCAACACACCATCACAAGTGAAATTTCCCAGATGTATGATATTGGGAGACCTCAACTTGTCTAACCTGAGTATAATATCAATCATGTTTCTTGATGGTCTATGGTGGGACTGGAATTGGAGGGGGACAAGGGCATTTGTTCTAATCGTCTGGTTAGATCAAGGGATTGGGATTGGGAGATACAATGTTGCAGTGGTTCTCTTTTTTCCTTCAGGGCTGGTTTATGGACCACCATGGGATTCAACACTTTCCCCTATGTTAGCCAGCACAAATGCATTGGCATGATTAATTAACTGCTTTTAAAGTGAACTATGTTGAGGATGGGCAACTGATTTTTTGTAGAATATGGGATTAATCCAGTTTTAAGTGCCACCCAGTATTGTCTGCACTGTATCTGCAGGTGTCTCTGAAATCTGAATGCTGGGTAGATCTTTAGCTTTGGAAATTATATACATAAACTGGGCTCATGCAACATGCTTAATCATATATGTTAAAGACCTAGCAGCTTCATTCACTCATTATGCAAAACTATGTTAATTTAATCTTGATGTATCTAGCTATCACTTTGTGTATCATCAATTAGTTTATTGATTCATGGTTTAATATATTGTAAAAACACAGCCACAGAATCTCATTGAAGCCCATGCATGAAGTATGTTTAAAAACTGTTTTACTTTGATGAGTAATATCAATCTTAAGGAAATGTGCCAACCTGGAACAGTAATCTTCCCTACTGTTGGATGCTCCATCTCCATCATAAGTTTATTGTGCAGAACCTAAAACATAATAATAAATAAAAACAGTGTAATGAGGGTGATTTTAAAAACATTTTAAAGTCAATAATATAGAAGACCATTATTATATATATGGCACTGCAACACTCAGAACTTTGCACAAAGATCATAAATTCCTTTGTTCAGCATTGTCATAACAACCACTGAACAAATGGTCATAAGTTGAGGACTATCCATAGAGGATTCTGAAAGGAAATTTCTCAATTATTTCAAATATTATTTATTTACTGGTAACATAAAACTGACTTAGCAGGTGTATAGTTTAAAGAAAGTAGGTAACTAACAGGGCAGATCATAAATTTCCCCAAACTTACACATTTAACATGATTAAAATTAAACAGCCACATGCATCTCTATGTTTTCTCAGTTCATGGCATCTCTGAACAGCTGATTTGCATTTTTGTACTGAATGCCAAACAGGGCTGGAACTGAGTTTTAATATAATAACAATTTTGGCTATTTTTTGAGCAATGCAGAAACACTTTCTTTTTTGGATTATGTCAACATTTTAAATGATTTTATAAGTAATTCAACTAACTAGCATATGTTCCAGATATACACGGGCAGATGTACATTTTGTATATATAAAAGCAAAAGATGAGCCTCTTCAATAACATTACTACCTCAGACCAAGATGTATTCAGGCTGCACAATGATCCAGATTTGAAGGAGAACAGGCAATTCTAGGTTTGCTTGAATATATATTCTTTGCATGTGCTTCCATTTCTTTAAAGATTTATATCCATGAACTCATTAGGCTCATGTGTTCTAAATCCTTTAGATCTGGATCACTACCCATCCCTACAAAATGATATAACAATACAATGAACCCTGAATATGCACTCCTTTTTTCATGTCAAGAACTGTGACAGCAATCTTTCTAATTTGGATAGATGAGAGTATTTGTAAATATTCTCCACAGGATTGAATTGTGGAGTCCTTGGTGCTTTTTGAACTTGCTTTCTGGCAGATGTTTCATTACCAAATTAGGTAACATTATTAGTGCAAGAAGGGAGTGGGGTTTGATCTCATTTTATATATTAGTGACTTGACCAGACAGCGTTGGTGGGATTGGTCCTGGTGGTTCCCTAATTGGGCTGTTGTGTAACATTTAGCTCATTTTTCTGTATTGGTAGTTCCTTGCTTGAGATATTGTTTCATTCTTGATTGTTGGTCTAGTATTAATTTTGATGTTAATCTCTGCTCATCTGGGTGTTGATTGCTGTGAGGAGATGTTTTGATCTTTTTGTTTCCTTTTAGGTTTTTCACAGCTGGTATTGGTTTTGCTATAGTAGATTGAGTAGTCAGACACTTTTTGAAAAAGTCAGATGGGTATCTGTTTAGTTGAAAGATGTTGTAAAGATGATCTGTTTCCTTTTTCTGATGTTCAGAGTTGCTGAAGAGTTTGCACTCATCTAAATAGTGTTCTTACATAGCTTCTCTTGTAGGAGATTGGGTTGTTACTTTGATAGTAAAGCACTTGGTTGGTGTGGGTAGTTTTAAGATAGGCATGTGCCTTTCTTGGTAAGGATATCCAGGAATGGTAGTGTGTTCTTGTTTTCTTTTTCCATAGTGAATTTTATTCCTTTGAAGATGTTGATGATTTTATGTGTGTTCTATAGTTAGTCATCTATGTGCCAGAACCATACTTTGGGTTGCATGCATAAGAATACTATAGGCATTACATTACGGTCTCTTCTATTAGTTCTGAAAGCAGTAATCCCATGGGTATTCCTTTGATTTGTTAATATATTTCTCCATCAAATTGTAAAAAAAGGTAGTTAGGTAAAGATTGATAAGATCCACGATACTGGGTATTTCAATCCTGGTGTATTTGATTAGGTCAAGTGTACTGTCATGGATTCTTTGGCTAATTCTAGCTCTATGGATATGACATCAAATAAGACCATGATTTCATCTTCTATTTTCACACCTTTTATTCCTTGGAGATACTGCAGTGGGCAATTGATGGAGTATTTGCTGCCCTGAGTGGTAAACTTTTTTGTCAATTTTTAGCGATGATATAGGTTGAGGTATCTGGTAATGATACAATTGAATAGAGAAGTATGTCTGGCTTGTGTGTTTTGGGGCATCCATAGAAGTATGGAAGGATGGATCCACTACTTTTCATCTGCCACTACTCTTCTTTGGTGATTTCACCTTTTTTTGTGAAATAACTAAGATTTATCAAGTTTCTGTATTGGATTGATGTTCACTGGAATGAAAGTTTCTTTGTCTTCTAATAATTCTTTCACTTTTTGTTTATATTGTTCATGACAACAGTGTTGGAGCTTTGTTTGCTGATAGGATGGTGATAATTTGGTCCTTCTTTGAGTTTTTAAGGGCTACTCTGTCCTCTGCTTTGAGTTGGTTTTGTTCTTGTCTTCTTCTGATTTGTGGTATGATTGTTTGATGCTTTCTTCGGTCTCTGTGGGAAGGTCTGTGGTTTTAAATGCTCATTCTAAGGCTGCAAAGAATTCTAGTTGATTAGCATCGTCTGTGCTATAGTTCAGGCCTTTCTGTGTTCTGCGGTAGATAGTGGGTGGCTGGACATGTTGACCACCCAGTTGAAGCTCATCTAGAAACAACAATCCCACACTCTCTAGTTTCATACTAAAATATGAAACAGCTGTCAGGCAGATGTTCAAATGTACACATATTCTAGAAACAGTTAGATGAATAATGTTTTCATTAGTTATTATTACCAGTAACTGAAATGAAATTGTGCTTTTCATCAAATCAATTTCTGAACTAAAAATTAATGTACACTCAGTTCCCCATAATTTTGTTCTCTGATGGACTATTTTCTCACTTTATTTTGAAATTTTTATTGCTGGAAATTTTGTCACTTTATTCTGAAACATTTCATTAACATTTCATTAATATTTTTATAGCAGTATTGTTTTGCTATCTTATAGCATTTTAGTCAACTTTATTAAACTAAAACTTTGACATCTATATAATTTGTTTTACTGATATAAAAATACAATATTCTTTTGTTTATTATTGCATATCTTACTTTTATTTGCCTAAAATGTATGGTATTTCAATAATCAATAGTTTCAGTAGTATATACACACCAATAATTAATTGTTATTTTAAACATAACATTAAACATTAAACCCTAACCATGAAATCATTTTTTTTCCTCCTAGGTTTCAAACTATTTAAAAATAAATTCATGTTACTAGATGCCTGATTTTTTTTTCAAACTATTGGGTGGTATTTGTCCTATTTATTCTCATACAAAAAGAAACTATAGCACAATCTATCAAAATTTGTCTGACATGATCTCTTTTTGACAAACCCAAGTTGGCTTTTAGTAATGACTTTGTTTGCCTCTAGGTGTTCGCTGATTCATTGTTTGATTATCTTTTCCAAAATCTTCCCAAGTATTGAGGTCAGGCTGATAGGTCTGTAATTTCCTGAGTCCATTTTTTTTTCTTTTTTTGAAGATGGGAACTACATCAACTCTTTTCCAGTCCTCCAGTAGTTCCCCAGTGCTCCAAGATGTTTGGAAAATATAGTTCAATGGTTCTGAGATCACATCTGCCAGTTCCTTGAGAACCCTGCAGTGTAATCCATCTGGTCCTGGTGATTTGAACTCACCTAGGCTGGACAAGTGCTCACTTACCGTTTTCTTGCCTATCTTAACTTGCGTTTCTATTCTGTTATTTATGGCATTATTTTTGGTAGGTTGGTCTGTTTTTTCCCTTTGTGTAAACACAGATGCAAAAAGCGAGTTAAATAGTTCTGCTTTCTCCCTATTGCTTGTCACCTTCTTGTCACTTTCCCCCACTAATGGACCAATCATTTCCTTCACTTTTTTTGTTTTTTACATGTTGAAAGAAGCTTCTTTTGTTATTTTTGACTTTGGTCGCAAGCCTTAGTTCATTTTGAGCCTTAGCTTTCCTCACTTTATCTTTGCAGGCTCGGACTATTTGCTGATATTCTGATTTAGTTATGTGCCCCTCTTTCCACTTTCTATACTTGTCCTTTTTATCTTTCAATTTATTAGATAGTTCTTTATGCAGCCATGCTGGTTTCTTTTGAGAGCTGTTATTTTTCCTCTTTGTTGGTATTGTGCTGGACTGGGCTTTTATTATCTCACTTTTCAAAATTTCCCAAGCTTCTTGAGTTGTTTTCCCCTTGAGGATTCTCATCCATGGAATCCTTCCTAAGCCCTCTCTAAGTTTATTGAAATTAGCTGTCTTAAAGTCCAAGACTCTAGTTTGACTGTGTTCTATTGCTTGTGCTTCCATAATGTTGAATTCCAATATTGCATGATCACTTCCTCCCAAGGTTCCTGTGGCTTCAACACCTTCTATCATTTCATCTCTGTTAGTAAGAATTAGATCCAAAATGGCTAATTCCCTAGTTTCTTTCTCTACTTTTTGGGAGACAAAGTTGTCTGCTAGGTTTGTCAGGAATCTGTTTGATCTTTCACTTGGTACAGAGTTTGTCTCCCAGTTGATGTCAGGGTAGTTAAAGTCCCCCATTACTATTGTGATGTGCTTCCTACATACCTTAGTTAGCTGACTAGGAAAAAGTTCATCTATTTCCTCTGTTTGGTTGGGTGGCCTATAGTGTACACCTATGGCAATGTCATTTTTTCTCCCTTTTATATTGACCCAATAGCATTCAAGACAGTTTTCATCATTGTTGTGCTCTATTTCTGTAGAGATGTAGAGATGTAATTATTTCTTATATAGAGAGCAACTCCACCTCCTCTTTTATTTGGTCTGTTTCTTTTAAATAATGTATCTTCATAAAGATAAATTTTATGACTTATATGAGAGAATAGAAGGGGAATTCATCAAATTTGCAGATGACACGAAGCTGGCAGGAGTAGTCAACACCCCAGAAGACAAGCTCAGGGTCCAAAAAGATCTTGATGGACTTGAGCAATGGGCCCTAGTAAATAACATGAAATTTAATGTGGAGAAAAGCAAGGTTTTACACTTAGGCAGGAAAAACAAAGA